TCAACACTCCCGCCCAACTTGGTGTCGTCTGCAAACTGACTGAGGGTGCACTCAATGCCCTTGTCCAGATCATTGATAAAGATATTAAACAGAACTGGCCCCAAGACTGAGCCCTGGGGAACACCACTTGTGACCGGCCACCAACTGGATGTAACTCCATTCATCACAACTCTCTGGGCCCAGCCATCCAGCCAGTTTTTTTACCCGGTGAAGAGTACACCCATCCAAGCCATGAGCAGCCGGTTTCTCCAGGAGAATGCTGTGGGAAATGGTGTCAAAGGCTTTACTAAAGTCTAGGTAAACAACATCCAAGGCCTTTCCCTTATCCACTAAGTGGGTCACCTTGTCATAGAAGGAGATCATGTTAGTCAAGCAGGACCTGCCTTTCATAAACCCATGCTGACTGCGCCTGATCCCCTGGTTGTCCTGTGCATGCCGTGTGATGGCACTGAAGATGATCTACTCCATAACCTTCCCCAGCACCACGTTCAGCCTGACAGGCCTGTAGTTCCCTGGATCCTCCTTCCGGCCCTTCTTGTAGATGGGTGTCACATTTGTAGATGGGTGTTCTAATATAAGGCCAACCAATGCACATAACCAGTGTAAGAGGGCACTTGGCACCCCTGCCTCTGACCCCTGGAAGTGTTCTGTGGGAACATCTGGCCCATTTCAGACCACAAATCCTATCAACCCTTGTGGTTGTTCGTGAGGGATGTGCAGTCCCTTTCTGCAGGGCACCTAAAGCTGTCAAGGAGCATGAGCTCTGTTGTTCCTGCTGCTTTAAGGACAACAAACTACACCTTGAGAAATGGTATCACTCTGAAGATCTATTAACTTCTGTGTCCTGTAGCAGGGCTGTGGAAGTGATCTCTGGGATGCAGGGAGCAAGTAATTTAGGCTTGATATGTATCAGGCAGCTCTACATAACGTAGTACAGCATCATCCTGAGTGAATCTTTCCTTTTTTCACCACTCAGTGTAGAAGTGGGCCAAGCTATACCTGGTATCCTGTTTCTAGCTCTGAAGGAAGAGGAGGATGGTGGTGGAGCAGGAGCTTCCTTGGCGAGGGAGTGGAATTAAACAAAGGTAGTAGAATTAAACAAAGTGCTAGCAGGCTAGCACTTCAGAGAGATCTGTGAAGAGCATTAGCAGCTTTGTTTCAGAGTGGCTTCTTGAAATAGGGAGCATTGGCATCGACACCTAGAATAGATCTAGGCTCAATAGGAAGGTGCACATTCGTAACTGATGCATTGAGGATTTTCTGTTTATGCAGTACATCCAGAAAGATTCCTTGATAAAATGTTCTACAACAGAAAAGCTAATGCCAAGGCAATTAAAAAAGGAGATACCCTGGGGACATCACTTTTTCTGCATAGTTACAAAGACATTGTTTGTTTTGCAGGTGAGTAATGTGTGAGTGATGTTTCCTTGCCAGGTTGGAGAGACTGGTGGGTTCCAGCAGATTATCAGCCATGTCTGAAATTACTTTAGCAGTGTGGAGTTGTTATAGTTAGTAACCTGGGTTACTTGATTTATTTTTTCCCCTGCTCTCATGTGTCACATTCATTCACAGCAGCCCTTACTATAGTGTACCTTACCAGCATAAGGCAGCTCCTTTGGCACACATACTGTATAATACTCTCTTACAGTACATTACAATTGCAAATTAGAGTTAGCTTTAATTTAAAATGTAAAAATTTCATTTTTCTGAGGTAAGGATTGTCAGAGGAATAAACACGTGAGTGTAATAAAGCCATGGGTATTAGCAATTCTGAAGTGTTGAATAAATGAAAGACACAAAGCCTATATTTTTGTGTAGGGTAAATAATGCCACACATAAATATTGAAGTATTGAACATAAAACACTCTATACAAAAATATAGACTTTGTTTGCTTGATTCTCCCTGATGTGTTAGAAAAGTTTTAACCCAAGGGGGACTATAAGTGCAGCCTTTAAAATGAATTTAAGTGTTGTATGTTGTCTATAAATTTCTCTATTGAATTACTGTCTTATTGTTGGTTTGAGGCAATATATTGTTTTGTTTATGAAGACTACAGCATAGTGGGTATCTTTTTGGTATCAACGCACTGTGAGATAAACATCTTGCAATACGTTTGAAAGAATCTGCAAATTCACACTTCCCAAATGAAACAGAATCCCACATTCTTGAATGTGCTTCCCAGTAGCTGGAGTTTGGCCCCAATCAGAGTTGGGATGTTGTGGAGGGCACAGGGGGTGTCCCAAGTTGACTGAGACGCAGCTTGGGTACCTGTCCACTCACACACGGGGGACCTGGGGTCAGGATTTCCCCTGGTCAGGCTGGCAAAGAACATTGAGAGCCCTTTTTCCGCCTTTGCAGTATATAGTCCATTTCCTAGGATAACCCATTTTTTCACTAGCTGCTATTACGAGGACATAAGACACCAGGAGGTGCACTTTGACCTCTCCTGTTCTCTTCTGTCATACACAGAGTATTTGAAGCTTTTGGCCTTTTGTACTAAAGGTCCAGTTTTGTTGTAGGATGTCAAGGCTCCTTTTGTAAGGGGCACAGAGCATAATTCCTATGATGCTTTTGTCACAACAATGTATTTGTTTTAATGACAACTAAGCCACCTTTAGCAAAAGCAATTGACCCTTGGTGATGGACTGACTTTCTTGCCATCAAAGCATGGAACATTTGTTTTGACATTAATGCAATAATACCAGTACTGCTGTTTTCTCTATGTATTGTGCTCTGACTATGTAGCCAAAATTTGTGAATGCAGAAAATGCATGTTCAGTAGTTAGAATATAGAAATGTGAGTGACAAAACTTTTGCAAATAGAATTTTCATCCTTTTTCTCCTTGTTTAACATTTAAAATAAAGAATACAAAGTCTGTTTTCTTCAGATCCAGGGCAGTGCAGCAGAAGATTGTGTAACCACTTATAAAAGGAGTCATTTGAGGCTATGAAACAAGAGGGAGAAGATGAAGCAAACCCACTATCATTTATGGTGTAGCAGAAAGTAAAGAGGGGACTGAGATGAATAGAAAGAATGAAGAAAAAAGCACTAATATTTCTAGACAGAAATTATTTCTTCTGGGATATTTTAAAGGAAAACCAAAAAGTACTAGGAGTTTAACACCTGAGGAAGATCTGCTTTATGATTGTGCTGTGAGTTACTCTTTGCTTACAAAGGTTGAAAATCTGAAAATGACCAATTTGGATTATTCAGGATCTAAAAAATTATGGCACAGAGTTCTGCATGGCTGTAGAACTTGGGGAAGATTATTCCATATATAGCTTCTCCTCAACCCATGAAGACAATATTTTCCTAGGCTGGGCTAGAAGTTCAGGGCAGGATTCAGTTTGAGATTAAGACATGCACATTTGAGTGCCTAAATGCAAGTGTCTTAATCTAAAACAAGTCTAAACAGTCTGACACTCCATGGCTATTCCAGACTAATGCTTAATTTCCATTTATGTTGCCTGAACAGGAACAGTCACCTTCTGAGGAACTGCCATCCCAGCCTGTGGTCAGGACTGCAAGCTAAGTGGGATAAACCTCCTGGATATGCTCAGGTGACTAATTTGGATTAGACACCTAAGTAAATTTCATTAAGATGACTTCTACCTCTAGAATTTAAACTTCACTTTTCAGCTATTCCATATTCCTGTCAGTCCTTGGGGAGCATCTTTGAAAAACAGGTTGTCCTCTGTTGGCATACATGTTCTTCATGTCACAAGGGCACTGGTGGTTTACAGAAGCGTTTGATGGACAGGATGGCACACTGTCCTGGGGACAGTTTTCAGCCTGTGAACAACAGTGTGCTGGACATGCCAGAATTTCAGCTTCTGGTCTGGGCAGCTCTGGAGGAACTTATGGCCTCATCTTGCTGAACTGCCACCAATTGGTTTGCAGTGTGCAATGGAGAGTGGTTGTTTCCCATGCTCTGAGAGGGACATTTTTTGGAACAGTATCTAGATTGCATTGCTTATTTTGCTGCCCTTCTACATTCTTTGCAGAAGTAGCTTTTGAGGACTCTTGGGGTGGGGTGTTTGTACATCAGGGTCCCTGTTATCTGTGGCATGTGGATGGCAAATATAGCTTGCATTCAGGTTGCAAAGAGCCAAGTTGATTATAGGCTACTAGCCTCTTTGGGTAGCTTGTTTTGGGCTTATAAATGTCTTGCACAGGCATAAATCCTCATCACAAATGAGGAGAGGAAGGCAGGCAGATCTGGACAAATGGGCCAAGTTCCTAAACTGGCAGTGAAGCAAAGGATGATTTCTCTCACTGTGGCCAGTTTGAAGTTTACACAGGCGACTTTCTGATGGATAACTGTTAGGGTGCTCTGATCCCAAGCAGCTGGACCACTAAAGTTGGAAGCTCTGTTTAACTGCATTCTCCATGTCCAGATAAATAGTCATTCTGTTATGAAGCAACAAGCATGACCGTGCACAAAGGGTCGAGTCCTTTTTAATTAGGTGCTCCCATGATGATTATTTTCCTGGCATACAAAAAAGGAAAATTAACCTATGCGTAGTTTGCCTCCAAGCACTCTTCAGGGGTTTCATTTAATTTGTCAGTGATACAGAAAGAGGAGTAATTTCTTAGTAGATATTTATCTGGAAGGAAGAAGGTGGTAAATAGTTACTCAGGCCTGTGAAGTGCAGGTGTTCATTAAGTGTACCCTGACATAAATCTCTTCTTTTTTTCTTTTGTCTCTTCTGTTTGTTTGCTCTCTCTTGTTTTATTCAGGAGCAGCCGAGTGTTACCCAGCAGGGATATCCACCTGTGGTCACCGGGGTAGATATGTCATAAATGTTCCTGGAAGCTCATTAAAACAAATCCAACTCCCAAGCAACTTTTGTTTGCTTTTGAGCATTCTCTTCAGAAACTCTGCAGCCAACATTTTATTACATCAAGATATGACTTTTTTTTCATGGACTTGTCTTTTATATCACTTTAAAAAGAACTGGTTGTGTTCTTTTTTAGAAGTGACAGTTAGGATTTCATCTATAATTACAGCAAGCTCATACTTCCTTAATAGGTTGCAACTAGAGCCTTAAAAAAACCCCAACAACCCACAACCAAAACCCAAAACTTCAGAAAACTTGAAACTTTTCTCTTCAGTTTGCATTACTAACTTATTGGTTGTTTGAAATACTGGCCATATAAAACACCTCTTTTACTCTTTCACTTTTTTCTCAGGCTGACTGTCTGGTTGTGTTTTTCTGGGACAAATTTTTTTACACTTATACCTCTTAAATCATTTAGAAAAGTTACAGCAAAAACATGTTCAAGTCAAAAAGGCCTTGAATATGGAGTCATATTCCAAAATAGTTGCACTTTGCGTTTTTCTGACCTGTTTCTAGGAGTTGGTTTCACAGCTTCCTCCACTTCAAATATTTTACCTCCAAATTTCAAAAGCCTTCATTATGGTCACAACCGTTTACAGGGAGCTTTAGCACACAGAAGTGCAGCTATCTCGGTGGTTTCTGAGTTGAAAGCAGTTATTAACATGGCAATGACTTTACCTGTTGTCTTCTTTGAAGGTTAGAATCAAGGCACTGACCTCATGCAGTTAGACTGGGCATTAGATATAAGTTTGGAGCATACAAAAATCCCAGCCTTATATTGTCTTTCTCTTGGTTAAAACTATAATTCCTGTATCTCTGTGCAATTAGAAGTATAGTTTAGGATTACTGGTAGATGCATGAAGACTTACCAAAAAGGATTTGATTTGTTAAAAACCAAAGGTATTATGTAATAAAAATTGTTTTCCTGCTTTATTAAGATTGTTGTCATGCACAACACAGTAATAAAATCCAAACGATTCAAACTGAAAGCTCAAAGTGTTTCTTTGCCACATTCAAGTTTGCAGAAAGGTGTTATTCAGGGATTGAATGCTATTAATTTTAAAGCTTTTTGGCATTTGTTCAGAAGAGAATAATGATGATTTTGTTTAAATCTAGATGGTTGTGTCTATATTTCACTGGAAAATAATACCAAAGAGAAGAATAGAGGCAGTAGAGATTAAAACTCAGGGCATAGTTGTGACCAACTGAGAGAAATTGCTCAAGGTGGCTCTCAAAGGTAAGCAAAAAAGACCACGAAGACCTAGAGGATGGCACCAGTCAAGGTATGGGCATGACAGACTTTATCAAACACAGCTTGGAGATAGGATTCTGCAAGGCCTGGAGCCCCAATGAGGTCTAGTGGTGGACATTGCCTTTCCAGCTGGAGAACCCTAGGCAATGATGTCAAATGAAAATCAGCTGCTGTTGCAGATGTATAGTCTGAAGCGTTCTGTATTCAAGCCATGACATAGGATGCAACACGTAGCGCAGATCTGGCAGTGTGACCAGTCCATACCATAAATTAGTCTTTGTCTGTGTTATGTCATTGCTCTTTTCTTCTTATAATAGGCAACTTCCCTAGCCATGCTTAATTCATAATGGAAAGTTTGGTCAGCAAACAGATATTGGAAAAGAATATTTGTCATTTAGATATTCAAATAATTAATTTTCAGCATATGTTATATTCCAGTGGGGATAACAGGCTGGTGTGTTTGGGGATGAATGCATAAACCATTCAGGAACTGTTTGAAAATAATTAAGGAAATAAGATGCCTAGTGTATATAAAGTGGGCTTTTAATTACAATAGAAAAGAAATTCTTCAGAAATCATTTATAAGATAACTTATTTCTCAAGTGTGTTTTGGCAGGGTTTCAAATAATGTATCAGATAGGAATTGCATATTGTGTGACAGGATTACAACTAACCCAATACATTATATAGGCCCAGCTACTGCAGCTCAGCTCCCATCCAAATTTAATGGTATGCTGAGAAGGTTTTGGAAGAGTTCAATCTGCATTCAGGTACTTTTGTGTGCAAGATGTTACGATATTGCATCAGAGGTGGAGAAGCGTACTGTTACACTAAACCAAAAAATGCTGAACAAAGCAGGTTGGTAGGATGTCCTCCATGAGGAATGTGAGAACCACTTACTCCCCTTCACAGGAAGGTGGTGGCTGCATGGTGCAGGATAAGACCTGTTAAGTCCAGATTTGATCTGGATCAAAAATGAGTATGTGAACATTTCTGTTGAATTAGCCAAAGCATGCAGTACAGAGTTTAGACTGAGTGTTTTTATGTTGGCTTTACTCTTCCTCTGGCAGGACAAAGAATATGGCATTAAAGTTGTGAGAAAGTTTGTTGGAACTTTTGAATGAATTTGGACTGGGAAAGTGAAGTAAACAGCTGGATTAGCTCTTTGTATCATATGGCTACTGCAGTTTTTGCCCCACCAGGATTTACAAGAACAGGTTTGTCCATGTTCTGTTTAGAGAGCTCTGATGTGGTGGTAAAGGTCATGCTGTCACCAATGCTTATGCCTGTGGGAAGAGCTGGTGCTGCTGTTTTCTTTACTCAGGGTGTCAGCAAATGGAGTACAACCCTAAGGGAAGAGGGTCTTGGGTTTAGCTTCCTCCTTGTTCATTTGCAGGGATATGACACTCTACAAGCAAACTCCCAGGAGACAGCTGTAAGTGCCAGCCCTTATGGGATATGGAGGTGAGATGTTGGCAGTTACTGGGATGAAAGAACAAGGAGGCTCAGTGGTCCCAGCATCATCCAGCAAAGAAATACTAAAATCCCCAAGTTCCAAACCATGTTGCAGTGCATATTTTGGTGTTTCATATGATATCATAATTGTAGCAAAGGCTAATGTTTCTGTGTCTGGGCTTCCTGCTGAGCACAGGAGGCCCACACTCTGTATGTCTGGTCTCTTACTATGAATATTGCATTAATGCTTACAAAGAAGATAGGAGGAATTCAGAAGATGTCACCTTAGATTACAATCTGTTGATTAAGGTGTGTTCTCAGGAAGATGAAGGTGAAAAGGAAGATACCTTGGATTTGCTATGTGAGATACTGCTCGTGACTGTGAGAAGGCGCAAGGTTGTGTACCATAGCTGTTTGTATATCATAATTGTGTGCCCACCACCTGGAAGGCTAACCCTACTTATTAGAGAATCACAGAACAGCTGAGGTTGGTAGCTGCCTCTGGAGATCATCTAGTCCACCCTGCCCCCAACCCCAATTTTAGGAATATTTTTACAGTGCAGGGAGTGAGTCCCACCTAATATAAAGACTTTGTGCTTTTGAAACCTCTAAACCTGTGGTACTCTAGTCAGTATGACCATTGCATATAATACATTGAAAGTAATTACACTAAAACTTCCCCCTTGAAATACACGATTCTTTTTAATTCTCTGTCTGGCTTAGAAACCAGTGTAATATTTGCAGTTTCTGTAAACTGCCCTTTGCAAACAGCTTCTTTTCTTCAACTGTGAATCCCAAGCTGTATACAAAGCCAAGGGTATAGCCCACAGTTTGCATTAAGTAGCATTTGATTAGGTGGTAATAACATTAATTGACACCCAGAATCAGTCGGCTGTAGGTGATCTGAAGCGATAATGCACTAGAGCTTCTAACATTCTGTTTTAAGTCAAAATGCTCCCTCAGCCTGGGGAAAGATGCAGGTGTTTGGGATAAAAGCGTGTTTTGTAAATGAAGGACTTGAACACTGTGATTCCACTTCATTACTCTTCTGCTCTTGCTTAATGTAAAATGATTACTCTATTACCACTTTTCTTCCATGTTTTAAAAGTATTAGAAAATTAAACAGCAAACCTTAAAGATAAAATCTGACCCAAATATTTTTTTGGAAAAGAAATCATTTCAAAGCAAAGAAGAAAAAGGATATTGAATAACTATGAAATAATTTAGAAACATTCCTGATTCAAACCAGTGTGTCTATTAATAAAAGCTCTGATTATAAATTGCTAGTTCTTGATTATCTTGCTTGCCTTTGTAACGATGAGCCCCTCAAAACATTGGCCTTCTCTGAAAGATTGTTTCAGCTTTGTGGATTAGGATCTTCGTGGAGATAGAATACGTGTATGCAGCTGGCAAAGCAAGTGTCTTAGTGAATGGTAATTGTTCCCCAATTCCCACAAATCCTTTCACAAACTATAGGCCTCCTTCTTTTTTTAGGGATCTTTCTTAGATTTCATTAACAACTGAGCCATTGCTGAATTATACTTGATATACTCAGAAGTTAGGCTTTAGCAAAGATTATACTCAGCAATGCCGACTGAGGGAGTCTTAGTGCTCTGGTAATTTTGCACCCTTGGGAAAAGGAAAAAACATGAGCAAAAAAAGATAAAAGCCTCTAAAATTGGTGTACTCTATATACAGCCATGTAGAATATAGGCATAAAATACAATTTGACTTTGTTATGAAATTACAGGTGTGCATTTCATGTCTTATTACCTTCTCTGAAAACTTCCTTGTCCTGTATTTTTCAAGGCCCAGGACCACGAAGCTGTGAGAAATGCTCCATCATCAGTGCGTGTGCAGTAACAGAGCCAGAGCAACCCTGGCAAGACCAGGGTGGTCTTCTGCAACTAGAGACCACAGCATTTAGTCCCTGCCCCAGGAGTCTGTCTTTGGGCTTCAGGCAGAGTATGACATGGGATGGTCAGGCAGCAAAACAGGGGATACGACTGTAGTGCCTCCAACCGACTTGTGCGGGAGTGTAGTTTGCAGCTCGTGTTGCACCAATGGACAATGCTCCTAGTATGAGGTGGAGGCCAGTTGTATGATCTGTGGGAATAAACACATTCCTCCTCTTTTAAACATATGCACTGTATTTGTCTATGGTCAAAATTATTATTGTGGATAATTCTGAGCAAGCCTTTGGTGTCCTCAGTTGTATCCAAGAATAAAATTTGTTTTCTTTATTTTTAAATAAGAGGGAAGAACAAACATAATTAATGAAGACACATACAGTGGGTAAAGCTGTGCACGGAATAAAGCAGCATTTAGACATGTAGATCAGTATTTCTTAAGTTATGCTATTGGTACATCCATGCAGTTTCTATGGGTAAATAATTTGTATAAAACACGGAAGAGAAATGTGTAGCATAAACACAACAAAGATCTGATTCTTTTCTTAAAGACTGTTATGCAGTTTACATAGCTTTCGATTCCCAAACAAAGAGGGGTTTTGTCAGACAGGGAACAATGTGCATTGCTGCAGGCATGAGAAAGGAGAGCTGCATTTAGAAAGTATTACAATTATAATGGGAGTAGATTACGAAGCAGATAATTGATGGTAGGGATACAGGATCTTCCCTTCCCACTGGGATTCATTCTCACTCTGTTGGTGTAACTTATAGCCCTGAGGAACACTCTTTTTAGTTTCAAGGCTCTCTTTTCTAATCTCTAGGTCTTTTAGTGTTTTATTGCACTGGTCACAAAGGTTCAAGGAGGTCACTCCAGAAGATATTCTCTCCAAGGGATTAAATGGACTCAGAGGAACAAAGTAATTTGGAAGAGTTTTTGCAGAAGCCTTCTTCCACCTTTAAACTACAAAAAGTCTCCTCTTCCACTCCTGCAAGACCATTTCCAAAGTGCTTTGCTCTTCTGATTTGTATCATTCTTCCTTCAGAAGATCAGAAAAGAGCATGTAAATCTAAATTGACTTCATAGTTATATCTAAACAATGGAAATGGTATGTTAAAAAATGTATATGCTTGGAAGATTATTCTGAATGTTGAAATCAGTTATTTGTATTATTATTGATTAATATAGCATTGCTCTTTCTTTTCAATTACATTAAATAATATAATTTTCTCTTCTGAAGTATCTTTTGTTATAAAAAATAAGATTTTGGATGGAGAAAACTAATCTACAAAGGATGATGCTTCCACTAACATTTTTTTAAGTCATTCCAGTAGTACAGGGTAGATGAGAG